GGGGGGAGAGCTGGACTTGAAAGAAATAAGGGTACATCTTAGCACATCCTGCAAGCAGCGCTTATCTGTGGGGGGGGGGTCCATTGGGAGCAGCCACTGACTTGGTAGAAAAATCCCCGTTTCCCCACATTTTAGACTGGAAGTTTGGACTTGTGTTTGGGACTAAGGGATCCTCGAACAAATACTTATTTGTATTTTTTTTTTAAGCTAAAACAGCCTTTTTATGTGTCAGATACTGTTGTAAGTGCTTTACATGTGTACGCTTACTATGCTTGTCTGTCTTCATTTTTTAAACACTGAGATGTTAAGAGATTTGAGTTATGTGAACTCATTGATAACACTAATGTATTTTAATTTTGCTTTATTTTTTAATTTTTTTTAATTTTTATTGATTTCAGAGAGAGAATGGGAGAGGGAGAGAGAGATAGAAACATCAATGATGAGAGAGAGTCATTGATCGGCTGCCTCCTGCACGCCCCCAACTGGGAATCGAGCCTGCAAACCGAGCATGTGCCCTTGTCGTGATTCGAACCTGGAACCCTTCAGTCCTCAGGCCGACACTCTATCCACTGGGCCAAACCAGCTAGGGCTACTTTTTAACGATAAATATTAGTTCCTTTTTAAAAATATATTTTTGTTGATTTCAGAGAGGAAGGGAGAGGGGAAAGAGAGATAGAAACATCAATGATGAGAGAGAATCATGGATCGGCTGCCTCCTGCACGCCCCCTACTGGGGATGGAACTGTAACTCAGGGCTCCTGCCCTGACCTGGAATCGGATGGTGACCTTCATGTGTTCATAGGTCATGCTCAACCACTGAGCCACACAGGTCGGGCATAACACTAATAATGTTTTCAATGTCCGTCATAAATCTCTGTAACCTATTAGAAATATACATTTAATTCAGTTTAACTCAGGAATCTTGCTTTGCATTTGATTATTTCTGTAGTTGGGATGCTGTGTATGAGCGAGAACTGCACACTTTCCAAGAATATGGAGACACAGGAGAAATCTGGTGAGTTACAGAAAATAGTGGAATCCGGAAGACTGTGTGTGTGTGTGTGTGTGTGTGTGTGTCTTTATGTTTTAAGTGTGTATCCCAAAGAGAGATGGGCTGAAAATCTTGGCAACCTTGAACCAATTCTGGCTCTAGTTGTTGGATTTAAAGAACCTCTGTCTTTTAATGACCCGGATTTAAATGTGATGATAGCATTAGGAAATTACTCTCTTTCTATAATTGTCCTTTTTAAATAAGCAGTAACATTTTGAGCCATTAATATATACAATTGTTAATGCTGATGTAGAGAAACATTAATAAGTAACATACCGACCTTATGTATTCTGTTCTATTCTTCGGTGTGTCTTTTCCTAAATAATAGTGAAGATGAAGCTTAAGCAGTCACGGTTAGTACCTTTACTTTCCAGAATGGCTTAATGGAGTCTACGAATGACCTGCTGCAGTGGAACGTCGCTGTAACCCGGCTCTGTCCCGCTGGTGTTGGATTAACCAGTTCTCTGTTCCTAACAGGTTTGGGGAGGAGAGTGTGAATCGACTCCTAAGGTGGATGCAGAGACACAAGATCCCCTTGGATGCTGCGGTGCTGGATATTGGAACCGGAAATGGTGTCCTCCTGGTTGAGCTTGTTGGTACCTTTAGTATTCCTGTGTTACAGCCAAATTTTAAAATGACCCTTAGGAAACTTGCAATCGAGGATACTAACCATCTAAGTTAAAGTAGGGAAGCAAGCATGCCACCTACTTTGAGAGTCACCAGATACAAAAGGGAGGCCACAGGGACGGGGAGAAGGAACTACATGAAAAGCTAAGGGGTCTGAGTCCTAGTCCTGGCCCTTCCCGCCACAGCATTGACTTCGACCAAACCACTGGATTTCTCTGGGCTGCAGTTCTTTCTCAAAGATTGTGACATGGTGATTCCTTCTAGCTCAGACGCCAGAAATCTCTGTGTCTGAAAGGAAGGTGACTTTTTGCGCCCCCAGTGGGACACACATGCCTCATGTTGGGTGAGCGTGTGGCTGGAACAGAGCATTTTGTGCATGGAACTGGGTTTGGTACAGGTTCTATCACTGGCTGTGCCGTCCCTGTCGTGGGCCTATGATGTGTCCGTGCTGTGCCACCTGCCGTGGGGGACGGAAAAGACTAAGGAGGGTTTTACTGTGTCATGTGTGAGGATGTGTGTACAACAGTGAAATGTACTGAATGAGAACCATGTGCCACGCCTTGTGCTGGGCAGTGGCAACATGAACATTTAGCTCTTGTGCTTGAGTTGTTCACAGTATCCTAGAGGCTGGCCTGGCGTGTAGGTGAGCAGTGAGAAGCCCAGCGTGGGGAGGGTGATGCTGGACAGCCCGGCTCTAGGCAGGGCCCTGACACATCTGGGGAGAGGGACGGGAGAGGGGCTTGGAGAGTCAGTGTCCGAGTTGGGTGGAGATTGCAGGAGCAGGAGGATTTACATCTTTGCAGCATTGAGTCTCCGAGTTCATGAACATGATGCGCTCCTCCGTTTATTTAATTCTTTATTTTCTTTCGGTAATACTTTGTAGTTTTCTCTGTAGAGACCCTACATATCTTCTCTTAGAATGATTCCTAGATTTTTTTGTTGTAATTGTTATGCTTTTTAAATTTCATTTTCTAATAGTTTACCATAGTATATGTGTAAAAATTTACTGTAGTGTATGTCATGTGTAAATAATAATTTTATTTATTCTATCCCAACCTCAATATCTTATTTATTAAAATGCTGTGTACAGCCCTAACCGGTTTGGCTTGGTGGATAGAGCGTCGGCCTGTGGACTGAAGGGTCCCAGGTTCGATTCTGGTCAAGGGCATGTACCTTGGTTGCGGGCATATCCCCAGTAGGGGGTGTGCTGTGGTGCTGGAGGCAGCTGATTGATGTTTCTCTCTCATCGATGTTTCTAACTCTCTATCCCTCTCCCTTCCTCTCTGTAAAAAATCAATAAAGTATATTAAAATGCTGTGTACAGTGTTGAATAGAAATTGTGAAGGCAGCTCGCCTTGTAACATTGCCTATGATAAAAGAAAAGCTTCTAATATTTCACCATTAAACATGTTAGCTGTAGGTTTTTATCGTGTTTTTTTTTAAATCAGACAGGACGGTCCTTTATATTCCTAATTAAGAGTGTTTGATCATGAATGGGCGTTAAATTTGATTAGTTGCCTTCTTCGATAAGATGATTTTTCTTTTTGGTTCTATTAATGTTGAGTTGATTGATTTTTTGGGGGGGTCCTCAGTTTTTTCAATTGACATTTTTATTGACATGATTTCAGTGATTGTTCAATGTTCAAAGCAACTTCTGTCCCTGAAGTAAACCAAGTTTAATTGTGCTGTATGATCTTTTTCAGGTATTACTGGATTTGATTTAGTAGTATTTTGCTTAGGATTTGTATAGCTTCATGAGCAATTTGCCAGTAATTTTCCTTACTTGCAATTTTCATGTGAGGTTTTTGTATAAAGGTTATGCTGGCCTCATAAGATGAGATGGGACGTGTCTCCTTTTTATTCTTTGAGAAGCTTTGTTTCTTCCTTAAGCCTTTGGAAGAATCATGGTGAGAGCCTCTGGGCGTGGAGATGTTTTTGTAGGGTTTGAGTCAGTTTTGTGGTTTTCAAGACATTTATCCATTTATCTAAATTAAAAATTTACTGGCATGAATTTGTTCATAATTTCCTTTTAAACTTTAAAAATTAACATGTTGCAAAATTGATTCTTTTTTTATTACAGTTTTATGAATTTTAACACATGTAGAGATTCGTACAATCATCACAGGATACAGAGTAGTTCCTCCCAGAAACCTCTCTTCTGCCATCTGTATGGCCACACCCTTCCCCCTAGGTAGCCACTCATCAGTTTCTTGTAGCCAGCATGTAGTTAGGGCATGTTTTTTTAATCCATTCTTACAATCTCTACCATTTACTTACTTATTTATTTATTTAATATATTTTTATTGATTTCAGAGAAGAAGGGAGGGGGGAGAGAGAGAAACATCAATGATGAGAATCATTGATCGGCTGCAGCCTGCATGCCCCACACCGGGGATCGAGCCCACAATCCGGGCATGTGTGTCCTGACTGGGAATCGAACCGTGACCTCCTGGTTCATAGGTCTGCACTCAACCACTGAGCCACGGCTGGCTGGGCTAAAGGGACTTTTAAATCAAGGACTTATTTCATATGCGTTTAATGTATTCATATGACTTAATTGTGTTAAGTAAAATTTATGCTCGATTTATGTGTGAATCAGAGCATGTCAACATCTGAAATTAACGCTATACTTTTCTGCTTGAGGGCTGAAATATACATACAAGTATTCTCATTGGCTTTGAGAAAATGAATTTCCTTTTGAAAAATAAATAAAATATAAAAGCAAAGGAATTGTCACATTCTATAGATTTAAATTTTCAGTTTCGTTTCTGTTTTGATTCCATAATAAAATTTAAACATTATAGATTATTGGATGGTATACATTACTTGGTCTATTAAAAGTGAATAAAACAGTCCCAGTCCTAAAGGAATATTATAATTCATAGGCAAAACAGGCTATCAAAACATTTTAAAACTAAAGTATAAAATTACTTCTCTGTCTCTAGGCAAAACTCGGTTTCTCTAATATTACTGGCATTGATTACTCGCCTTCTGCAATACAGCTTTCCAGAAGTATTATAGAGAAAGAAGGGTTATCTAACATTACGTTGAAGGTAAGTATTGTTTATATTACCATAAGTTATTTTTATTTCTAATAAAAGTTATAAAATGTAAATGTTGCTAATGTATATCAATCAAACAATCCAAAATGCAATGATTTTAAGTGACTATTTAAATTTTTAGTCTAGTCAGCTAGGGAAGTCATTTCTTCCTCATGTGCAAATGTGCTCATCCCTTCCCCACGCCCTCGTGTCTGCAGACACACAAATAATCCCCGAGTTTGAGTCACTAGATCAAAAACTGGGAAATGTATAAAGTGGGGAAATACCAAAGAATACCTCGTTTATTTCTGTGCTCGCTGAGGAGATGATGTGTCTCGCATTGATATTTCTAGCTCAGGCATCTTCTCTGAGCTCTAGAATTCTATGAAAGCTGCGTATTTTACACTTCCAGTTGGATAGCTAATAATCTCGCACTTAGTCCAAAATGATACTTAAACCTGCATCCCCCCAAGGCCCTTCCCATTTCCAATGATACCACCATTCATTTACCAGTTGCACTAACCCAAACCCAAGGGGTCTTCCTTGATTCCTCTCTTTCCTTTAAGTTCTGTATCCAATTCTGTTTTGTTTGTTTTTTTCCTAAAAGAACCCCATCAAATGCAATGACTGGTTCTTTTTTTTTTTTTTTTTAATATGTTTTTATTGATTTCAGAGAGGAAGAGAAAGGGAGAGAAACATCAATGATGAGAGAGAATCATGGATCGGCTGCCTCCTGCACGCTCCCTACTGGGGATCGAGCCTGCAACCTGGGCATATGCCCTTGACCAGAATCGAACCCGGGACTCTTCAGTCTGCAGGTCGACGCTCTCTCCACTGAGCCAGACCAGCCAGGGCTTTATCTTCAAAGGCAATCAGGAACGTAATCTTTCCTCGATAGTTCCACTGCTTCCTCCCAAATCCCAGCCACCATCATTCCTTGCCCAGGCAACTACAGTAGCCTCTTATGTGGCCTCCCCATTTCCACTCTGCCACAGGGCAGCCAGCCTGGTGATTGATTGATTGATTTAAAAATATGGACTACTTCACGAATTTGCGTGTTATCCTCGCGCAGGGGCCATGCTAATCTCTGTGTTGTTCCAGTCTTAGCATGTGTGCTGCCGAAGCGGCACCAGCTTGGTGTTTTAAAGTGCAAACCAGGCCTTCCTGGCATGGCTCAGTGGTTGAGCATTGACCTGTGAACTAGGAGGTCAGGGTTCAATTCCCGGTCAGGGCACAGGCCTGGGTTGCAGGCTCGATCCGTAGTGTGGGGCGTGCAGGAGGCAGCCGATCCATGATTCTCTCTCATCATTGATATTTCTATCCCTCTCTCCCTCTCCCTTCCTCTCTGACATCAATAAAAAATAAAATGCAAACCAGCGCTGGGACTTCCTGTTCCCCAGCCTCCAGGCGCTTCCCTGTTGCACTCAGGGTGGAACCTGCACTTGCCCGCCGCCCCGGCCTCCGCAGCCTCGCTTCTCACCTCTTCCCTCTTTATCCCAGTGCTGAGTCCCGGCTCTGCTTCTGAAACACGTCAGGCCTGTCCTCCCGGCGCCATCCCTGCTGCTCTGCCTACAGCCGCTTTGCCCAGGTGTGAGCTTGCGTGGCTCCTCCTCCTCGCTGAGTCTCAGCGCGAATGTTGCCTCCATCGTGAGGCCTTTCCTGACCCCTTTCCCACACATTTCTCTCCCCGCTCAGTCACGTCTTCCCCTTTAGAGAATGTACAACATATTCTTCTGCCATGAACTTCTCTCTTTTGTTTGCGGTTATATTCCCAGGGCCTGAAAAATTCCTGCATTTACTAGATGTCTATGAAATATTTGTTGAATAAATGTGTACTTTCATACAGGCACTTAGGATAGAAAATTCTCCAAACTTAGCTCTTAGATGTGGTACAATGACTACTTGGGTGTGAGGGAGGGGAAACCCATGTTCCAATGTATACAAACATAAGGTCTCATTTTCAAGTCAGACAGTAAGGACGCTTTGGATAATACATTATTTATGACGACCAAGCTTATATGAATAATTATCAGCTAATTGTGTGATTACTTTTTCAAAGTAGCTTTTCAGAATTAAGTTTATGGGCAGATTACTTTGAATATTTTATGCAATTGGGTAGCTCACTGTTTCGAGTGCTTATGATGTCATCGGTTACTGAGAATGAATGAGATGCTAAAGTGAATGATGGCTGTGAAGTGAAGTCATTGCGGCGGGAACAGCCGTGGAGCTTCGTGAGCTTCGTGCTGTTCGTTACGTCCCTTCGCTGCTTTGTGAGCTGCTGAGTCAAAGCAAAAGAACTTTCGTTTCCCTCTGACTTCAGGTCAGACAACTTGTCGTCTTCGCTGAAAATCCTCTTATGTCCAGGGGCCTGTCTGAGCTCCCGATGATTGTTGTCATTTTTAAGAATATCTCCAAGGCTCCACTTTTCCACAGAAGTCACGGTGGGCTCTGTTGTGTGCGGCGTTAGGCCCCACACCTGGCTTTGATTTGTTTCCACATTTGTAGAGATTCGGAGTCCAGGAAACACTGTTGTCTTACTGTTCTTAGCTTTAATGATCTTGGAACGAAGCACATAAAAGTGAACCATGAAGTTGAAAATACGTTTATCGCATGTAAACTGCCATCAGAACGAATGGGTGCTCTCATGGATCACTTTTAACGCAGTGAAGATTGTGTGGTAGCTGTTCTCACCAGGCACTGGTTTCTCGTGTAGGTAGAAGACTTTCTGAATCTTCCCACAGAGCTGTCTGGGTTTCACGTTTGTATTGACAAAGGGACTTTTGATGCCATAAGCCTGAATCCTGACAATGCAGTTGAGAAGAGGAAGCAGTATGTGAACTCTCTCTCCAGGGTGTTGAAGGCGAACGGCTTTTTCCTAATAACCTCCTGTAATTGGACCAAGGAAGAGTTGCTGAACGAATTCTGTGAAGGTAATTGGCTGTGCTGTTTGAACATGTGTTTCCTCAGGTTTAATGCCCTTAACCAGGCTTTCCCCTTGTGCTACAGTGTTTTACTTTCCAATTTGTGGGAATTGCCTACTTTTCTTCTCTGTTAATAACCTTGGTAATGCTTTTAACTGTATATGCAAAGAGCAAAGAAGTAATACTGGTTGAGATCCAGAGTCCTGTCTAAAAATTTCCAAGAAATCCTGGCAGTTAAGCACTAAAATTTATGAGCCTATAAACATTGGGTTCTTTCTTTAAGCTGCATAATCTATGACTTGGAAGCAAACAAAGAAAGCTCATGTCCTGTGCTCCTGCCTTTACCCTGGCTGCCAGCAGCTGTGCAGACGGAAGCAGTGTTTCTAAAGCCTCATGTGTTTTAATTTTATACACGTGTCTTTCTAGTGGCCATGTAGGTATTGGGGGTTTTCTTGCTGTTTCCGTGTATATGGAACAATGGTAACATTGCACAGAAACAACACACAGGGACTTGGTAGTAGAAATACCACCTGTTCATTCTTGAGGGAATCTCTACCTTTTTCAAGATTTTTGGTGCCAGGACAGGCTCCTCTTTTGCCCCGTGAACAAAGTATCATAGGTGCCGTGTCTCCTAAGTGGGGGTTCTGTGAGAAAGGAGTGGGTCATCTGTTCACAAATGGTTTTTGCTCTTTGGCATGTTCCTCGCGTGTTCTCAGCGACGCCTCGCCTGCCGGTTCGTTCCTGTAGAGCATGGGCCTTTCTGGGAACGTTCCCTGAGAATTTACCTCGAGCCATTGCTTGTTTTTTCCTTAGAATCCTTTCAGCTTAGGATTGAGGTTTTTAAAGGAATGGGGGGATTTTCAGGATGGAGTATAAATGATGGCACTACATTTGTGGTCAGGTTTTGAACCTCAAAGCTCATGGGCGGGTGTGCACTTAGCTTAGAGGTGGTTTTCTGGGGGCTGAGGGGTGAGGGGTGAGGGACACAGCACACATCCTGTGCGCGCAGTGGTTTTAGCAGGTTCATAACGTACAACCTGAAGTGTGTGAGGCTTGACACGTGAGCCAGCGGCTTCATTGCTGTTGCCCCTGGAAAGCAAGAAGTCCATGTGATTTATTGTCCTTTATTGCCTGTCATTAACTTTATATCTTCCATGTGAAGCGCGTTTCCTTTAGAACCGCGGAGGCCGTGTCAGTAGGCCTTCCTCTTCCTGAAGCTGCAGTTTAGTAAGTGCTGAGCGGCGCTGTGTGGGCAGGGCCTCCGGCTCTCGATGCAGGTGCTGCAGCCCTGGGCCCGCCGACAGGCAGCCTGTGTGTGATGAGGAGCGGACCTGCCTGTGCAGGGTACTGCATGGCTCTGTGCTGAGAGCTGCTGGCCAAGTCCTTAACTCAGGTTCCGTTTTAGAGCAGAATATGGAATTTAAGCGAAATGTGCCCTGGCTGGTGCGGCTGAGTGGATAGAGCACCAGCCTGTAGACTGAAGGGTTCCAGGTTCAATTCCAGTCAAGGGCACATGCCCGGGTTGTGGGCTCCATCCCCAGTGTGGGGTGTGCAGGAGGCAGCCGATCCATGATTCTCTCTCATCATTGATGTTTCTCTCCCTCTCCCTTCCTCTCTGAAATCAATGTAAAAGAAAAAACACATATATATTAAGTTCAATGTTGCCACAGGAAATGTTAGAGAAATAGTGACGTCCAAATGAAGACATGCGCTAGAGCCTCTTCTGAGCATGGTGTGGAGGTCGATGGGAGCCTGCCCCACCGCCCCGCCCTGCCCTGCCCCGCCCCGCACAGGCCTGTCACAGCCTCAGGACATGTGCCCTGGTCCCTTGGCTCAGGGTAGTGCTTGCTTTCCCAGCCTTTACGGTTCTTTCCTTATTTGAAACATAAATGTTCATAAAACCACTGAAGCGAATCGTGCACTTCTCCTTTAGAGCCTAGTTATATAAACATTTGTGTTGCCATTTGATCTGTTGAGGATTCCTTGAAACATTTGCCAGATACTAGATGTTCTAATTTACTGTCCAAGGAACTTGTCTTTCTTACAACTACTGAATGAACAAAAAAGCCAAAAACCTATCTTACTACAAAAGTAATCCAGATTCATTATGAATAAAAAGGAGTAATATTAACCCCAACATGTAAGAATATAGATTAAAATAATTAAGATCATTTGCTGTCTCTCTCTGAAAATGCAACCACTTTTCATATGTTGCTGTGTTATCCATTGAAACATATAGCTTCCATCCTGCGGGGCTAGTCCAGGGAGGGAAAAGATTTGTCCTGGAAAAGTCACAACGGCTCTGTTTTCTTTTGAAAATTTTTGTTATGAAATATTTTAAGCATAAGTGAAATTGCAGAAACAAATACAGGTGTGTCCCCATCCATCTACCTCAGTGGCCCCATTTTCCAGTGTTAAAAAACATCAGGTTCTTACATCGTCTGTCCTTCTATGGAAAAGTTTTCTGTGCCTAGTTTTTGAACATTTTAATATTTAGTTATTTCTTAAGATTTGCTGAAGTTTGATTAAGAATATGAATTAGAATGTAAACGAAACGAAGTATAAAAGACCAGTTGATACAATAATATATATCCCTTTAACATTTTTGCTGCTTATTTGAGCTCAAGCTCAAGGCATGGAAATTAGAAAATGAAGACACCCCCAAAAGAAAAAATAATTCCTGAACCAATTGCCCATCACTGAGGGAACATGGGTAATGGGAGTGACCTTCCTGCCTTGTCTTATTTTTTAAAAGAAAGAAATACAACAAAATAGTAAAATGTTAAAATTTTATTTTATTTTATAGCTTAGGAAACTGCCACATTCTCTAATTGTGATCCTTACACAGTCACTGTGAGTTGGAGAGGAGTGTTGGTGTCTGAACCCCCTGGCACAGAACCTGGGGATGCTGTGTAAGGTCATGTGACCACCATCTCTTGCACTAAGTGGTAGAGCTGGGACTTGAACCCAGGACTTTCGACTACAAGTTAGTTATTTTTTCCCACCACACAGTGCTACTTTGAAAGTTACTAGTTCCTTGTCTTGATCTTTGGTTACAAACTTTTTTTTTTGGTGGTAAAATACAGGGGTGGGCAAAAGTAGGTTAATAATAATAAGTAATACAATAATTAATAATAATGCAAGAATAAATTCTTGTGTTTTGCGTACTTACAACTGTAAACCTACTTTTGCTCACCCCTGTATATATAACATAAGATCTGCCACTTAACCATCTTGAAGGGCACAGCTCAGGGCATTCAGTGCACCCACACTGTTGTGCAGCCGTCACCACATCATCTCCAGAGCTACTTCATCTTACCCGTTTTTACTCCCATGTTACTCACCTTCCTGTATTAAGGTTTTGTGTGTGTGCTGGGGATCAATTGCATTAGTACATATAAAGCACCAACACAGTGCCTGCTGCCTGGCAAGAACTCAACCCGTGGTGGCTGCTGCCTGCAGGCAGGTGGCGTAGGCTAAGGAGATGCGCAGGGGAAGGGCCGGCAACCAAGAAGCGGAGGAGGAGGCATGAGAAGGAGCCTCTTCTGCGGTTGTTTTCAGTCTCGTCTGCTCCTTGTTCAGTTCAGAGTGTTTCGGGTGAACACACATCACATACACACACAGGAGAACTGAGACGTCACAAAATGAAATGCGGTCACAATTCAGAGTTTGGAATCACATAGTTTCATAAAGGGCTTGAAAGTACAGTTACTACAAGCTTCTTCTAACTGTGGAATTCAGTCCCTAATAAGAGTATTTGAACTTTGTCCGACAGGATTTGAACTCTTCGAAGTGTTGCCAACACCCAAGTTCAGCTTCGGAGGCCGATCTGGAAACAGTGTGGCTGCATTGGTTTTCCAAAAAACGTGAGACTTTTCTCTGGACAAACGCAGAGAGCTTTTAAAGAAGCCCCACATCAAAGTAAAGCCGGCAGAAAATGCAGGTGCAGCTAACTGCTCAGTGAGTACACAGGAGGCACATGGTGCGCAGATACGAGGTCCTGGGCGTGCAGGCGCGGGCCTGAGGTCAGCCAGGAGTAATTTCAAATGTTCTTTGTATTTCAAATGTAAATATTTTCCTTCTTGATTAAAAACACTTTCCTGTACCTGCTGAACAGCTAACAACTTTAAAGCAGTAAATGGATTTACAGAAAGCCTGTGTTCCTGACTTTCGTGCCTTGGGAACATTGAATTGAGGATAGCTCTGTGTTAAGATTTCCAAACGATTCCAGGGCCAGAGTAATAAGCAAAACAACTTTATTGGTGTTTTATTAGAGTAGGAAACATAATGAGCCTACTATTTTGGGTTGAATGGTGGTTATTTAAAAAATTTATTTACTATCTGAGAAAACCTCTAGTCTTCATGTTTATAGTTAAACAAAATCAGGTAACTATATCAGTTGACCAGAAATACTAATTGAGGCTGTATTTTGTGGCTGGTGGTATTTTACCCACTGTGAGGGATAACGGGAAGTAGGTAAACAGATCAATAGAAAGACGACTAAGAGATGCAGTCACAGGCTTGCACCATGTTCTGTTACGTATTTGTTTTTTCCAGGGTATGTTGTCTTACTGAATCTCCCCAGTGCTCTCAGGCAGGCATTCCTTCTTCCTGCTTCTCCACATCAGCAGCTCGTGCAGGATGGAGTCAGGGTGGTTCTCTGGCCCTGACGCTAAGGCCCACTCCTCCCCCGCATGTTCTGCCCAGTTCAGCGGGGAAGTGGGACTCGCCTTAGAAAGCGCTGCCAGCGAAGGTGGGCGGTTGTTGGGGAGCTCTGCTCCGTGCCGGTGTCGATCTGGGCACTGGGCGCCCGCTCCCCGCTCGCCTTAAAGGACTTGCCCAGTTAGGACCTGGCGGCCTCATTCCCTGTGAGGCCGAGGAAGTTACTCTTACACCTGTGTGAGCCGTGAGGGAGATGGGATGAGGGGGTTCTAGCTGGGGGCCAATTAGTAAGAGAAACAGTTTATTAAGATGTTTGAAAAAATAAGGTATATTAATATGTAATGCTGTTTTCTATTTGGGCTAATCCTTACTAATAAAAGGCTAAGTAGTTGTCACGCCCTCACGCGTGATGCCCTCACGCCGTCACAAGATGGCTGTACGCACAGCAGGCGTGCGCAGGTGGGCGGGGCTGGGCTTGATGCTGCGTGTGCGCCACAGAGCCTGCCTGGGAGTCCCGCCTCCTCCCAGCTTCGTGCGCGGCCAGGCCTGGGGGTCCAGTGGCTCTGCGCAGCGTGGAGAGGGGTCCGCGCGGCCTACCTCTTTGGGGCAATCCATTGAGGAGCCCCGATGGTGGGTGGGCGGGGCCTACCTCTTTGGGGTGATCAATTGTGGGGCTCCCGCACTGTGACAGGGCACAAGCCAGGCTGGGGTGTCCACCACCCCCCTCCCTCCCCCCCTCCCCCGCTCGGTGCACGAATTTTGTGCACCGGACCACTAGTATTTTAATAATGGAGTCACAATATGAGCTTTCAAAAAAGTGATATGTTTGATGAGTTTTCATTTTTAGGCCTGTTGGGTTACAGAATGAGGAGAATTGCGTTTGGCAAATGTTAACTCCAGAGATGAGTAAGTCTAGCATTACATCCCTTTTTTCCATTTTGCCCCAGTGCGGGGGCAGGGAGGGTGGTTTGATTAAGATCAACATTAATCAACCATTAAAATTACTACCTGCTTTGCACAAGATAACTCAAGGCATTTACATAAATAAACATAAATAACATTTTTTGAAAAGCTTTAATTTTGAACATTTAAAAAGTGAGAAATTAAAATACGTTTTTAAACTTAAAATAGCGTTGATTTTACAGACTAGACATGGGATCTGACACCAGAAGCATATAGTTTTCAATTGATTGAGGAGATCTGTCTTTGTTGTCTTTTCACATGACAATTCCTTGATTTCAGATATGATAATAGGATGGAAGTCCTTTCCTGGGGTTTTGAGCTTGGAAGTAGATGCTGTTTTAAAGCGCCAGCCTAACGAATGGGCTTTCCGTGCGACCAGATGGGACGCTGGGTTTGAGTCGCTAAGAGCTTGGAGTGGCCTTTGTTGAGAAGCTGCTTGTCTGTTGCGCGGGGTGTTGATCTGTGGGTGGAGATGAGGATTTGGGAGACCGTGGAACTGTTGGTACGGTGGCGAAAGGGGAGTTATCTCTTATCAGTTGAATCCTGCTGGAAGCCGCCTCTCAGAGCTTGAAATCAGAACAAATGGAAAGTCCAAAAATGCTAACAGTGAATTAGTATTTTCCAGTAATGCCACGCTTTAACAGCCGGGCCAGGAAATGCCACCGAGTTACCGAGATGAGCCGTGAATGCACGACGGGAAACGTGGTTGTGTGACATCACATGCCTGTGGCTGCTGGGGAGACACGGCAGCCAGTGCCTGAGGAGCGCTCTTTCCTCCGGAGGAGGAGTTGGAATTGTAATTTTATTTCATCAAAAGACTCTTATTTGGGGAAACTTGTTTGAAATGCAAACGAGATTTCTCCGGGCAGCCCTTACAGATTGTTGTGATGATGTTATTACTGCCCACAGGCCCCTCTGTGGAGGGCTCCGAGGCCTGAATGGGTGGCTGTGCCAATTAACCAACAGAAGTTTTCAGAACGTTGTGTTCTAAGCCAGGTGCACAGTTAGCGTTGCTTTGGGGACTGGCATTTATGCGTGAGAATGAACCTGCCACTGCCCTGGCAGCTCGACCGAAACCCTTTCAGAACAAGCACCGGCTGCTGGTGAACGAGCCCCCGTCATGTGCGGACGCGGCCTCTCCTTCCTCTGTCACGTGCACGCAGCTTCCATCGTGGGGGGAGAGGTGCACATGCGAACACTTGGTCTTTGTGTGGATAATGTGTCTCAATCCCCTGATTCTGCATTTTTAAATTTCTATGAAACTATAATGCAGAGGATACCAGAAACCTTACTTTTTCAGGAACTCGTATCAGTAATTAACCTTTATTTGGCTTTGGAATAATTTTTCTTAAATTGATAGATAAAGAAACAGAGTATCCCTGCGTATGTTAATAGACTGAGTTATGTTCTCCTAAATAACATTTTAGGTGTTGATGCGTGCCTGTGTCTGGTAGGCTACAATGACAAAACCCAAAATTGGTGACAAGTCCATTGCTCTCCAGGCCAGCATGTGCTGTGGGAGACCCGGGTCCGAGCTCCTGGGTGTGGCCTGGGAGCCTCGCTGCCTCCAGAGCAGACGGGGCCTGTGTGCGCAGGCTCACCTGCTTCTGGGGGGTGGTGTGCTGGCCCCAGCACTTTCCCGGAGGGCGGGCCGTTCCCTGAGCTTGACCCCTGAGCTTGACTGTGGGGACCAGCCTGATTGGTTGGAGGACAAGTGCATGGTGGGGGGAAATGGGGAAGCCCTTGTCGGGTCTCTCTGTTGGGCAGGAAACAGTTGTCCTGAGGAGAGGCAGGAGCACATGAGCTTGTTTTATTAACAGTTAATTCACGAAAATGGATGCTAATTTATTCTTCATACACACCATGCAATTTGTTAGAAAAGTACAAGAATAGTGTGAAATTCTTTGGTCAATTGATGGATCCCTATGTTAGGGGCATAGAAATGAAACTCAACAAATACCCAGGCCCACAGGCTCCCTCTGTGCTGAATAGCCCGCTCCACAATGGGCCTCTGAACGGCGAGGGTCCGAGCCCAATGAGTGACTGCATGGGACCCTGAGCAAGATCCCTGGAGTGTTGCTGAAAGATCATTCATTTCCAGCTCAGAGGTCAAGATGGGCTCCAGGAACCCGAACAGAAAGGGAGCCGAGTCGGTCGGCACCGAGTTTACAAAGTCTTGCCCATCGTGCGGTCGACGGATCACGAAGCAGGCTTCTCTGGCTGAGCTGCGAGCTGCCGCTGTGCGGACCTACACTGTCGGCCCAGGGAAACCGAGTGAAGAAGATGGGAATAGGTCCCGGGACATGAATGGATCAGTGCCCGCTTCCCGGGGAGCTCACCGGAGGCAGAGCTGGCCCGTGTGCCCTTGTCCTGCTGAGGCCATTGTAAGACAGACAGCCAGCCAGCCAGGAGAGCGACTTAAAGTGCTTGCAAATCACTGGCCCAGTTTATGAGGAAGATATAAAAACGGAACCTGCTTTCTTCGCTCTCACATGGCCCATCTGAGGAAATGGCCATTTCCCAGGTTGTATTTTAATACGTATTGTGATGCCTGCGTCAGGAAAGAGTCTGTTAGGAAGTGATCTATGGTGCGTGCTGAAGAGCTGTTTAAGAAAAGCCAATAGAATGCATTTGTTTTTCCAAATATCTAAGAATTTACCCTAAAAAATACCCAGCAGTTAGCATATCCTGGGTCTCAGCCGAGGAGCTTGGAAAGAAACTGAGAAGCCTGCTGGGTAAGGAGACCTGGAGCTGCTTTGTGGCTCTTCATTAACACACTTACAGGTGGGCGGCTGTTGTCATCAGTGAGGGTGATGTCATCAGTGACGACAGCAGAAGAGGACGCTGCGGGGGGCGGGCGCTGTCCCTGCCTCCCGCTCCCGAGAGGGGGCTGGTCGGGAGGAAAGGCTAAATGTAGAAGAGGGGTGCTGCCAGTTCCCGTTTCCCTCTGACTCCTGTACCGTGAAAATGTCAGCCTTTGTTCCCATCTAATTTTAGAACATCCCGGCTCAGAAAACGCTAGGATGGAGCTCGTTAAGATGACTGGCAGCCCTGGGACCTGGTGGGGAGGGAGGAGAGGGAAGCAGCCGCCTGGGGACCCGCTGCCCTCCTGCAGCCGCCTCAGCCCCTCGCTGCTGGCTTTGGCGATGAGATAAGTGCAGATACCCGGAAGCAGCAGTAACGACGGTTCCTTTCCGGGTCCCCACCAAGGAGCCCCGCTGGACGGGAGAATCTGACGGGAAAGCGGCCATGTGGCATTTGATTTAATAAACACACTGGGCGCCCTGCAGAGCCGTGTGCAGGTTTTGGAAGAAAGGCCTGGGATTGGGAGTGAAAACCACACGTCACCTTAGTTATAAATAGAACCTTTTCGGGCCACTGTGGCCCCGTGAGACGCGGTGACGCTGGGTTTTGAATGAGTGGCATGTGTTGGTGTTGGAGAAGCAGTCGTCAGCAGGGCACACGGCAGGCTTGATCCTCCTGGAAACCCCAGTGGTTCTGTGAAGAGGGCCAGTTGGGTCAAATCGT